TACTGAAAATCTGAGGTAATTCTCAAGAGATTACTGAAAGAGATTGATTCTCGTTATAGGATTCACCGCAATGCGAATCGCCGTTGTTACCTGCAAGGTGAAGCCACCGTCGGCCGATCAGCTTGAAGTGGACGTGGAAAGGTGAGCATTCGAATCCTGCAATTCGGCTCGCACTAAGTCGCGCGGCTCTTTCTGAATCTACTACTATTTGAGATGACCTGGTCGGACAACTAAAGGCGCATTCTGACAAATATGGTTGCTAGGTCCGCAACCGCGAAAATAAGGCCATTTCCGCAGCCCAAAACGCGCACGGCGGGCATTAAGACCTCAGAGCTTCCATCCATAGGCGACAGCGACCACATACTCCACAGTTGCGAGGTAGTGTGATCAACGCTGTGCCACCCATTGACCACTGAAGGCGCAGAGTACTGAACCCAGTGCTCAAGAATAAATAACTACAAAGGGCTGATCAAGGTAATGTGCCCCAGTTTAGGGCTTTAAAGCGAGAAATAGGACCCCTTCCTAGCCCGTTGATGCGACTCTCATCTGTGCTGCCCTCTTAAACGCCAACGCTCTCTCTGCTAAACGGCTAGAGACCTGCGGTGAGTGGTTAGCCAGTCGGTGGGCGTGCCGCGTCATAGCGTCGCGGGACGGCCATGCTAGTCGCCGGGCATATCTTTCGCTGCGAATCGCGTGTCGGTCCGCACACATAGGGCGTACTCCTGTCCTTCACTATTATGTTCCCGCTTCTTACCCTTGACCTTATCCTGGAATTATCGTTAGATGCGATGCACCTTTTGGGCAGAAGTGGTACAGTAGTAGGTGTCCACGGATCCAGTGATCGAATCCAGTCTCGTGCACTGTTCAAGCCAATCGAGCTCTCCATCCTTCTGAGTTCAGTTATTTGGCTCCAAACTGTCTGGAAGGATATGAACACTGATTTTTTTTTCATTTTTGGGCCGTCAGAATTTGTTATGTAAACCAAAGCGCATTTAAAAATGCCACGTTTATGCTTGAAAATAGTGTGCATAGTTGTCGAGCAATTTTTGAACGCGAGCGTGGCGCATCCCATATACGGACTGCCAAAGGTTTTTACTCTTTTGCACCTTTTGGTCTTTGATGTCTATTACCTCAGCCACAAATTCTTCAGCAGTTCTCGCCGTTTGCCATCCGTGCCTCCACCACATGACGACTTCCTGCGTGAGCTCATCCAACTGGCTGCATTCCATGGGAAAACAAGACAGGTTTCTTTTCGACCTACTCTTATCCCCCTAAAGCCAGCTTCTTTCCAATTCTTTCTTATTCAGGAAGTCTTGGATGTCGTCGACTCGTTAAGTGATGAGTACTTCACGCGGAAAATGAACAATCTAGCGTTCACAGAAACTACTCCACCTCCTACCGTAATATCCCCACGGCCTTCCGTGCAGCCCTCCTACACGCCGTCATCGCAATTGCCGTCTCCGAATGGGCCAACCACTCCGATACCGTATAACAATGTATACCACAAATTTGAATACGTGTGAAATCCTTTCGGTCCATTAACTTTTTTCTGTGCCTTTCTTTTTTGTTCGCTGTCTATTGTTACAGATTTGGTATTTCATGTGAATTTGTGGGAATTTTTATTTGTTTACGCTCAGCGCGGGTCGTTGCGACATATTTTTCTTGTTTTTCTTGAGCCTGGGTTTGTCAACCTTTTCTGAGCCTTTGTCATAAGCGAATCATGACATTGTTCGATGCATAGCAAATTTCTGAATAAATTCAGCCAACGGTTGTGGAGCGTCCTTTCAGCTTATCAGAAAATTGTCAAGTAACTCGTAAAGGATCCGCCATTTTGAAAACACTGGGATTTGGTCCCAAGAACCATCCCTCCTAGAAAGAGGAAGAGGGTGGAGAGAAAAGCTCATCAGCGGCGAGCGCGTGCCGGTGACGTCAAAATGACATCGCAGCTGTGGCAGATTCGAAGGAAGGGCAAGCAGTGCCCTGCCACTTTGCTTGAATAGAGCTGGGTGTCTGGCACTATGCCAATATGTTCAATCAGTTGTGCCGCGAGCGGAAGCGATTGTGTTTTAATCAGGTATCACCATTGCCCTAGGAATTGAATTTTTTGAAAGTGCTCGGTTCTTACTTACTTCGACTTATCACACAGTGAAGTAAGAGTACAGTAGATGCTCGGAGTACTTAATATTGAAGTAATGGTGGAAAAGCTAGCCCTTGCTCGCCTCGCCGCCGTTGTGACGTCACCAACACGCGAACGCGTCCGCGCCGCCGGTGAGCTTTTCCATGGAGCCGAGAAAGAGGGGTCCCCAAGACCAGGAGGCACGACACTGTCGCGACTCAAAAGTGCGAGGCAACGGCGCTAAGGCCTTGCCTTGTGTGCTGCCATGCTGCCATCCTTATCAACCACGGCATACGTGGTCTCTGCGCCCTCTCGCGTACGACGTACTCTCTCGTTTTTTTTCTCTGCTCGCGCAGCTGTTTTTCCGTCATACTTCGAAATTTTGACTTTGGCAATGTACAAAAGATGACTGCAGCCTTAAGGTTTATAATCATGCAAAGGAATTAGAAGTGGAAGTTTGGAAAGAGAATTCGGATTTCAAAGGGATGGTAGTGAAAAAAACTCCAGAAGTTTATATGTACAGTAGAA